GGGCGGCCGGGCCCCGGCTGGGGCTGCAGGAGGACGAGGGCGGGGACGCGGTGGGCTGTCCAGACCTCTGTGCAGGGCCTCGTTTCCTTAGGCGGATAACAGGAGGATGCCGTAGCTGAGGGGCGGTGGGAGGGAGGCGGGGACGGGAGCATCCTGCCGTGCCGCCAGCAGCCCGGGGGCCGCGTGCTGTGGGTGCCGGCACGAAGCTCCGCCGTCCGTCAGCACGGGAGCTGCGGTTCTGGCTGCAGCGGCAGGAGCTCAGCGCAGCCCTGCACAGAGCGGTCCGGCAGCACGGGAAGATGATGACGGCCTGGAGCGCGAGTGCCTCAGCAGCGTCTGCAGCCTGCGAGGAGCCGAGCGGCGCTGGGGAGAGGAAGGTGTGGGAGTCCTGGGAAGGGACGCGCAATGACAGCATCAGCGGCAGGATCAGCTGCTTCCTCCTCCTCTCCCGACACCGGGCACTGGTTTCCTTTGAGAAGCACTCCACTGTCACGTCTGTGGGGTTCTGCAGGACGCACAGACATGGGGTAAGTTTAGGTTGGGTGTCTTTACGGAAAGGGTTGTGAAGCACTGGAATTTGGTCCTCAGGGAGTGTTATAGATTCCCGTGACAAAACCAGACAGCGTCTAGTTTGATAAAGGGAGAGCTTTATTTAATTAAGCAAGGCGGTAAAGTGAGCAGAACAGCGCTGGGCGCCGAGGGGAGCGTACACTCCACCAGGGTTGTGATTTGAACGAGGGATTGACTGTATTTATACAGTTCTCATCTCCTGCATACGTTCCAGTGATTCTTGCATTGATACAGTTCTTATCTCCTGCATACGTTCCAGCAGCCGCACAGGTTGTTGTGTGGTCGTAGCTGTTTTGCTGGGGGATTCATTTTCCAGCCTCCTGATGGTTGTGGGGGTGAAAGCCAGTAGTCTTTTCCATTATTCTTTGGTTATTTTCTAGCAGCTTATGTGCCCCAGGCCTGCAACTTCTTAGTTTCCATCGTTTACAACATTATTTACATTCCCAGACACCTGAGAAAGCACCATTGAGTTTCGATTTGGCTAACAAACTTAACCCTTATCTATCACAGGGAGGTGGTTGAGTCACCATCCCGGGGTGTGTTTAAAGACCGTTTGGATGTGGTGCTCAGGGACGTGATTTAGAGGAGGGTTGTTAGAGTTAGGGTAGAATGGTTAGGTTGTGGTTGGACTCGATGGTCTTTAAGGTCTTTTCCAATCTGAGTGATTCTGTAGGGATGCTGTGTGTTGGATTGCTGTTTATTGCGGAGCAGCAGCACAGGGGAGACTGGGAAGATGGGGATGGTGAGGGCAGTGTGTGGCCGTCGGCTCCTCAGGTGGTACCAGGAAACATCTCACAGAATGGCCCGGCTTGGATGGAACCTCAAGGATCACGGGTATCCAACCCCCTGCCGCAGGCAGGGCCACCAACCTCCCCATTTAATACCAGACCGGGCTGCTCAGGGCCCCATCGAACCTGCCGGGTTCTGCCCCTCCCGGGATCTGCCCCTTATGGGCGGGCATGGAATACTTTGGACCCGGAGTCCCTCCCCGCTGCGGGGCGTTGGCTCCCGGCAGAGCTCCGTTCTGCGCTGCAGAGGCGCTCCCTGCGCTGTCGGTGAGTGACCCGGCTGGGGAGGGCAGCGTCGGGACGCGTGGACGGGAGCGTGGGACCGCCCGGCCCGGAGGACGTGGGACGGGGCGGGGGAGGAACGCGGAGCTGCGGTGTCCCGGTCCGGCCGTGCCGTCCCCGCTGAACGCAGCCGGTTTTCAGCCTCACCTCCGTGCTGCGCTGCCGCTGCTGCTGCGGTTTCGTGCTGCAGAGGCGTTTGTCCTGAATGCGGCTCGTCCTTTCTTTCCCTGTGTTTGGTTTTCTTTCTGCCGGCTCTTTTGCGCTCGGAACGCTTCTGCCTCCCTCCCTCTTTTGTATACTGACCTTTTGTGCTGCGATCTGCTTGTTTAACAGCCCTGCTTCCGCGTACAGAGCGACCGAATGATCAAACTGCATCAGGAAAACATCTGTTGGATGCAAAGCCATTACTTAGTGCCCAAAACAAATATTAAGACAAGGTGGTTGGCCTTGCATTTCTGCCAAGGACTTGAGAAGGGCGGAAACTTTATTTTTCTGATGCCTGGGATTGCCCAGAGATCCACAATTCCATGAAGGAGAGAAGAAGTTGAGTGCTGAGGAGTGTCTGTGTGGCAGTGCCACGCTGAGCTTGCTTGCCTGGGCAGTGCACTGTGATGCTGTTCCAGATGTGTAAGAGTCACGTGCAGGGCGAGCACAGGCACTGCTGCTCTTGCACAAGGGCTGGGCTCATGACAGCAGCACGAGGGCGGCGCTGCTTCTTGTAACCTCAGCCAGGCTGTCACTCTAGGAATAGAAAAGGCATTGCTAACCCACTGGTGCCTTTGCCTGCTTGTGCACTGCATCCCTCTCTCATGCAGAGCTGCTGTCGTGCTGCAAGGCAGCCCTTGTTGGTTCAGTGCAAAGCAGTGTGTGTTTGTGGGCATTCTGTAGTGCTGTTCAGGCGTTGCTTTCAGATTTGGAAATCATGTGCTTATCGTCATGCTTTACAGGCACGGTCACTGAACCAGCACCATGAAATGGCAGGGGTGGTACCTGCTAAGAACTGTTTGCTAGAAAACTAATGCTCTCTCTGGTTTTTATTGCAGTTGCCAGCTGCCGGTGGACCTGAACAATAAGAGATTGACCAAAACCTCGAGCGATGGTGAGTGTGTCTGTTTGCTGTACCATGCTGTGCCAGGCATTTGCCCTGATCAGATAAATGTAGGGAGTGTGAGTAGAGCAGGAAGAGCACTCGCTGTCTGTCTTTTTATGAGTGGTAAATTTGTAACTTTTTTCTGTTTCCTCCTGTAGAGGACAATGCCCCACACATATATGCTCTTCCTGCTTGAGAGTTAATAAAAAATCCAACTGAATGTTAGCTCATAGAGGAAGTATTTTTCCAGATAAACTCTCTGGGCATAAAGCTCCCTCTTGGTTCAACCCACAAGGTTCCACCCATGCAGTGGTTATTCCTGTGCCTGTTTTCTAAAGCATAAGCTCCATGAAGGTCAGCACTGTTTTGCTGTTGATCTTTGTTAGAACAGAGATGGGTCGTAGGAGGCAGTGTGATCCCACAGAGATCGCACTGAGCAGGAGGCAGGAGAAACCTGTTTGTGAATGGCTATTTTGAGCCAAACACAGCACGTCGCGGTGCGCTGTGGAAGCACAGGATGGCTGATGTTGGAAGGGACCTCTGGGTCCATCTGGTCCAGCCTTGCTCCAACAGGGTCACCAGAACTGGTGCGCAGGACCACATCCAGATGGGTTAGGAGATCTCCAAGAAGAGACACTGCAGCCTCTCTGGGTCCCTGTGCCAGTGCTGCAGCGCTTACAGTGCAGGAGTGCTCCTGATGTTTGGTGGCAACCTCTGGTCCTGGCGCTGGGCTCCACTGGATGCAGCCTGGCTCCGTCCTCTCTGCCCCTCCCTGCAGGGCTTGATGGCCATGGGTGGGATCCCCCTGAGCTGCCCTTCTCCAGGCTGGGCAGCCCCCTCTCTTTCAGCCTCTTGTCATAGCAGAGGTGTTCCAGTCCCTTCACCATCTTGGTAGCCCTCCATTGGACTCTTTCCAGTATGTCCAGCTGTCTCTTGTACTGGGAGCCCAGACCTGGACGCTGTTCTCCAAGTGCAGCCTCACCAGTGCAGAGCAGAGCAAAAGTAATGGTGCAGAATAATGGTGCTTACCTGGTACAAGAGAAGTCAGGACTAGGGCTATGATGGGAGCACATTGCTCTATGATTGACGTGGAGAACTGCTAGGAAGAGGGCCTGGTGGGCCTGAACACAGATGCCTGGTGAGCCTGAACACAGATGCCAGGTGGTCCAGCTTTTATTTCACTGGAAACCAGATACTCCATGGACAGCAATATGGAGATATGTTCTCCATGCAGTTGTGCCCCCGTGGTTTCATTCTGGTGTGCTTGGGAAGTCCCACTAGAACAGGCTGCCATGTGAGACAGAAGTGAGAGAGAAACATCACTTGTGTGGGTGGAGTTTTACTATCTCTGTGTTCACATCTTTATGTCTGATGCTTGTTTTTTTCGATTCAACTCTATGTGTGCGAGTCTGCCTTTGCTAAATCCTTTTTCTTGTGGCCTTAGGCAACAATCAAGGGGGTCTCAAGTTTCAGCCCTGAGCAAGAAGCGCAGGCTCTCAGGAAGGCTATGAAGGGCTTTGGTAAGTTGATCTCCCTCCACGGGTCGACTTTTATTTTTTCCCCTGCACTGGGAATGGCTGCTGTGGTGATTTGATAGAGGGAAGCATAGCTGCTTGCGTTGCTTCACTGCACAACTGCCCTAAAAATTGTTGGAAAGTGGAAACAGAACTGCCCTTCATGTCCCGAAATGCAGCTGCTCTGGTGGTGTGAGTCCTGGCAGCTTTGTGTGTGTAGATGGAGTCCTGGGGCTGTTGAGAGCCAGCTGTGTGAGGGACTGGAGGTGGCACAAGAGCAGAGGGCACTTCTGATTCTTGTGCAGGCAGCCTGACTTGCTTCCATTTGTTTCTTGCAGGCACGGATGAAGATGCCATCATTGACGTCTTGACCAAACTAAATGTTTCCCAGCGTCAGCAAGTTCTGATCACCTATAAGAGCACTATTGGCAGGGTAGGTGGTCTGCAGAGATGTGTGAATGTGGTTGTGTCACTTGGGTGAAAAGTGAAAAACGACCCAATCTCTATAAGAGAAAGGTCAGCCAAGACTTTACCTGACCAAGGTTGTTTTGTTCTTGTTCAGTTCAGAGCAGTTGTTGATGCAAGGAGGGTTGGAGCCTGAAGGGAAGTGATGAACAGCTCAGTTCCTTCTGTCCTCAAAGGCCGTACCTTCTGCCAACTCCTTTCTCCTCTCTTCTAGGATTTGATTGATGACTTGAAGTCGGAGCTGAGTGGGAATTTTGAGAGGGTGATCGTTGGGATGATGACTCCCACCACCATGTATGACGTGCACGAACTGAGGAGGGCTATGAAGGTTTGGAAATCTTCCTTTTATATTGCTTAAATTCTGGGCAAGGACTTACTGCTTTGTTATGTATGTCTTCTCTCAAAGAAACCTGGTTGCATGTCACAAGCAGGTGCTGGTATCTTAAATCTTGCCTTGGTGATTCCCTAGGGAGCAGGAACAGATGAAGGTTGCCTGATTGAAATTCTGGCTTCTCGCACCAATGGAGAGATTCGTCGCATTGCTGAGAACTACAAGCTTCGTAAGTAGAGCAAAAGGCCAGGCCTTGTCCTGCTGTCTGACAGTCAGTCTGTGTGTGTGCAGGCAGACGTGAAGAGGAAGGAGTCTGGGGAGCTTTTAGGTGTGACATACTGGCCAACCTGGGTGTTGCTGTTTGTCCAGAGAGAAGCTAGACTAGAATTTCACCAGCAACTGAGCTGGTGTAAATAAAATGGGGAGGAGCATTCTGTCTGTCAGCAGGATGTGTGGCTCTCTTGCCAGTTTCTTACTGTCTGCGCTTCTTAATTGGAGGCTGCAGCACTGATGATGATGACTGGAGTGCTGCAGTGATGCTGAGAGCCCTGGGCACAGTTCTGTACTTAGCTAGGTTACAGCTGGCAAATGTTGTGGGCAGCACCCAGGTGGTGGCCCTGCTCCTAACAGATGCTGTGTGTGTGTTCTTTCTAGAATATGGCTGCTCCCTTGAGGATGACATCGTATCTGACACATCTTCCATGTTTCGAAGGGTCCTTGTGTCCCTTGCAACGGTGAGCCACGCTGAGGGGAGAAGGGGGTGAATCTTCAGAGCTGAGGGCACAGAATCGTAGAATCGCCAGGGTTGGAAGGGACCTCAAGGATCATGAATCTCCAACCCCCTGCCACATGCCGGGCCACCAACCTTTTCATTTAATGCTAGACCAGGCTGCCCAGGGCCCCATCCAGTCTGGCCTTGAACACTTCCAGGGACGGGGCATCCACAACCTCCCTGGGCAGCTGTTCCAGCACCTCACCACTCTCTCTGTAAAGAATTTCCTCCCGACGTCCAACCTAAATCTCCCCTCCCTCAACTTAAAACCATTTCCCAGCTCTGCACTCAGTGGTGAGGAGCTCCAGGCTGGCTTTTTCTCACCCTTTGTGTCCCATGGGCTGCTCCTCAAACCCAGCCTCTCCAGGGAGGGAACTCTGACTCTGGGTGTGCACGAGTGCTGTGGGCTCTTCTTTAAATGTCCCAGTAAAGTGGGTTGCTGCTCGTTTCAGAAGGAAGCCCAAAGTACATCTGAGCTGCGTTTCATTTGTAAGCTAGTGTTCCCTTTGAAGGACTCCATTATCCATCTCCAGCAGCTTTTCATGAATGGGGAATTCTCAGGAGTTGCTTCCAGTAGATGCTCTGGTGAACTGGGTCTTCTACCCTTGTGTCTTTGCAGGGAAACAGGGATGAAGGAATGTATGTGGATGATGCCCTTGCTCAGCAAGATGCTCAGGTGTGTAGTAATGTGCTTCCCAATCTATTCTTGTGCATGTGATGCGTGGTGAAGAGAAGCCAGCCTGTGAAATGGAAATAATGGTTCTAGCCTTGTTTGCAAGTCTCTAATGAGAGGTCTCTAGCCAGGCTGGCTACTTGGCAGGGGCAATGAGATTTTGGCTGTGGGTTGCCGTGCCTGGTTGGTGCTTGTTGGAAAATATCTGTGATTTAGACAAGTACAGGCCAGCAGTGCTCTAGCTGCAAGGAATTTAAGATCTCCTGTACACCCAGTCTTCTCCATGAGCCTTACTTTGTCACCCCTAATGTCTTGAAGTGCCTGTACGAAGCGGGGGAGAAGAAATGGGGAACAGATGAGGTGCAGTTTATGTCCATCCTCTGTACAAGGAACAGGTATCACCTACTGAGAGGTAGGACCCCTGCACAGTGTCCTGGGTTTTTCTTTCTTTTCTTGTTTGTGTGTGGTGCTTTTGTAGGAGCTCTGTAGCTGTTCAGTAGATGTGAACTCTTCTGAGGCAGCAGGTGTCCTAGAGAGAGCCCCATTGCATCCATTCCATTCGGGCTGTTTTATTCCCTCCTGAGACTGAAAGGGACTTGAGAAACCTAAGTCCAACTGTCTGCAGCTCCAGCATGGAAAGCAGAGATCATGAAGTGTGACTGCCATTGGGGCAGGGGGGAGAGGAGCTAAGAAACTTGATTGGCTGCACAAAGCAGCAGGTCTTGAAAATGGTACTAGCTGTGGTGGGCCAATTAGCAAGACTGTTAGCAATGAAAATGAATTATTTCTGTGGGACGATCCTGATTTAGCTGAGAGTGCTGCAGGGATGAAAGAATGTTCATGCAGTATATGAGGAGCTTGTTGCAAAGTCGTCCTTTGAATCTCTGACTTTCTGCCATGGACTCTTCTCCCTAGTTTTTGATTTGTACAGAGGCATTGCTAACAAGGACATAACAGACAGCATTAAATCTGAGATGTCAGGAGACCTGGAAGATGCTTTGCTGGCTGTGGGTGAGTGCTCTGCTTTTAAATGTTGTCTACAAAGAAATGAAATGATTAGAGGTGCTGTGAGTTCCCTTGTGTGGCTGCTACATGGTTTCAGGAGGCAGACGTGGTTTGTCTTGCCAGATGAATGGGGCTTGGAACACCACTGGTGTAGAGGGAGGTGTCCCTGCTTATTGCAGTGGGCTTGGAACTAGATAATCTTAGGGGTCCCCTCCAACCCAAACCATTCTATGATTGTATGCTTTACAGACCCAGTCAGATGAGAAATCTATATTGTGCTTTATGGTATGGTGTGCTTGGCCAGAGGGAGCTTTGGCAGCAGACGTTTGCTGTCAGGAGGCATGAAAGCCTCCATGCAAATACTGCTATGCACAGGCACAGACATCAGCTCACAGCACATCACTGACTGTGGATGCCTGCACTGCAGCTGCTGTTTGTTGGCCTGGAGGTGCATCTTGACAGAAGAAACACCTGCACCAAGAAAGTGCTGCAGCAGTGTGGAAAAGCTCCTGCTTCTACTGACCTTAATTCTCTTGTTCTTGTCCCTCCTTCCAGTAAAGTGTATGCGGAACAAGCCTGCGTACTTTGCTGAAAGACTGTATAAATCCATGAAGGTAAACAGATTGTGGAGTAAGATTGCTTGCTTCTTTCATGCATTTTCGTGCTCCAGTAACAGCATCGTGGCAATCATGAGATGGAAAGTGCAGGCAGCCAGGAAACTGGCTTTTCTAGGAAAGCTCAGGCTTTTCTACACATCAGGGTAATAGTCATACTCGGGAGCAAGCTGCTAATGGATCACAAAGATGCTCTAATTAAGAGCAGCTTCTGCACAAGACTGGGCACTGAGACCTTTGTGTCTGTGGGTGATTCTCCAGCAGGTTCTCTGTTAGCTGCACGTGGCTGCTTTGCTTTCCAGGGCCTGGGAACAGACGACAGCACTCTGATCAGAGTGATGGTGTCCCGCTCCGAAATTGATATGCTGGATATCAGAAGAGAATTCCTGACCATGTATGGGAAGTCTCTGTACTCCTTCATTAAGGTAAACTTGTCGATGTTAGACACAAAAAGTGGGATTTTCTGAGTGCCTTTAAGGAGATGATTCCCCCCCCCCCGATACCTGTTGGGCATTTTAGAGCAGCTGAGATGAAACAGACATTACAAAAACATACTGAAAATGTTCCTGAATATTCTTAAATTGTCTAGAAGAATACAAACGCTGCAAAAAAAATCTGTCTTAAGAATTTGACTTTGGTAGAACTTTAAAAATTATTCATATTCCTTTTTTTTCTTTTCTCAGTAACTCAGTTTGCTCTGGCCTTCTCTGCTTCTCTCCTCTACTTCCTTTTTTTTCTGCACTCTTCTCCCTCTTTCTTCTGCCCCATTCCTTCCTTTCTTCTTCCATTTGCCCTTCCTCTTTTGCTGTTCCCTCTGTTTTCCCCAACCTCTCTTTTTTTTCCCTTGTCCTTTTTAGATCTGTTCTTATCTGTAACCTCTTCTGTTCTGCCCTCTTTCTGCTCTGCTCTCATTCATCACTTTTGTGTTCTTCCCCCTTACAAGCTCCTCTCTTCCCTCTTTTCTTTATTCTTCTCTGTCTCTCCTCTCCTTCTCTCTCTTCCTCTTTGCTCTCCCTGCTCCTCTCTCTCTCTCCTCCTCTTTTCCCTTCTTTCTTCTCATTTGTTCACCTTTATGTTCCCAGGGAGACTGCTCAGGAGACTACAGGAAAGTTCTGCTGAAGCTCTGTGGTGGCGAGGATTGAAGGATTCCTGGTGTATGTCCTGTGCTATGGGAAGGAGGGGATCATAAGGATTTCTTACAATTTGTTCTGTTTTTTTTTTCCTCTCATTAACTGCTGAGTAGTGACTTTGATTAATTAATGCTCTAGTTGGGTAATGGAAGTTCCATTTTACCCTTAACTTCTGCATTTTTGCTTACAACACCCCTTTGTATCTAATCGAGCTATAGAGTCTTGTTTAAACAGAATGCTTTAACCAAATCTTAACCAAATATGCAAGCTTTGTTATTTCTTTGCAAGCTGTCCCTCTGCATTTACCAGTAAATCCTGTCAAATGAAGCAAATTTGGACACAGAATGTAGGAATTTGCAGAGGGAAGAATTAACTTCGTCATTACATGGAGAGAATGCAGCCCTTCAGGCTTCAGCTTTTGGAAGATAATTAACCCCCTCCAAAAAAGAAATAATCTAAAATACAATCAAATTTGATGCCATAGTGGTCTTTTCCAACCTAAATGATTCTAGGGTCACCAAATCCAATGGCACCTCATTCCCACCATGCCCACTAAACACGTCCATCAGTGCCACGCCTCCATGGTGTGTAAAGCTCCAACTTGTCAGCTTGCTCTCTGAGTGTGGAGCACGACCAGCCGTGCTGGACTTCGTGTGTATGTTGCCTGTGGCTCTGGAGGTGGGGAAGCTGCCCCAGGTGACTGCAGAAGGAACTTCAGCTGCACTGTGCCTGGTTACAGGTCAGCCTCAGAATCTTGGTCTGTCTGCCTTGTCTGGTGGGAGTGTAAACCATCAGGTTTGTGTGTCAAGCCTTTGCTCTCAATCAATTGCTGTCATTGGAAGGAATGCTGTCCACCTATGAAGGAATGACCTGTCCATAAAGCATGTCTCATTAGCACTGCCTGATGCCTCGTACTGAGCTGTTCTGGGGTCACAAACCAAATGTGCCAGCACCTCCTGCTGGGACTCCTGGATAGCACTGCCCTTAGAAACGCTGCTTTTGTGCCTTTGTGTGATGTGAAATTCCCTCCCAACCTCTGAAATAAATCTTTCCCCTAGGCTTAGCTCCCATCTGCTAAGCTGTGAACCTACAGAACGTGGCTCTTGTTTGCTTTTGCAAAGCATAACTGTTGGTGGAAAGCACTGTGAAGGCATCACAGACGACCTGCTTGTCCCTGCGGTGCTCAGGGGCTTTTCTGAGCTGCACTGCAGCCCCACGGCACAGCCTCACATTGGTGACGGGCTGAAGCTGGAGAATCCTGGCAGCAGAGGACGCTTCTGCCTCACAGAAGGGCTCACAGCTCCACCGACCTCATTGCAGGGTGAGGAGGCAGAGGTGCCTCCAAGCGGTGGATGCAGTCCACCCAACCTCACACCTCGTGTGGTTCACCAGGAAGAAAGGTGGGCACAAAAAAGTGACTGCAGAGCTCTTGGGCTGGTAGTCCAGGTGTGGGGGCCCAGGTGATGCTGTGGGATGGGTGTGAAAGGAGGGCACTGGCGGTGCGTGCCAGTTCTTGGCTGCAGGACTGGTGCTGCTGGCAGGGCCGTGGGTTCTGTGGCTGTGGGACCGGCTGTCCCTTCCTTCTGCTCCATGGTGGGGGCTGCAGCACCACAATGTGTCACCTGGCTGCTCCCAGCATGGCGGGGCTGAGGAGAGGGGTGATGTGCAGCCAGGTGAGGGGAAGTCGGCTAGGGGTTCTGTCTGCAGCCTGGAGCAGGGACAGCACAGGCATAAGAGGGACAGGCGGGGGCAGGAAGGGATTGGGGTTGGGGTTGGGGTAGGGGTAGGGCAGGTTTAGGGGCAAAGAAGCAGGGCCAGGATAAGGACAAGGACTCGGCAGGGGCAGGACGGGCAGAAAAGGGGCAGGACAGGATTGCAGTTACTGCAAGAGATTTGAGCATGGAGGGAGGACGGGAAGGGACTCTGAGCATCCCGAGAGGGGCAATGAGCAGGAACAGAGGAGGAATGGAAGGGGTAACAGGAAGCACAGGTCCGGGGCACGGAGGACAGCTGTGAGCTCACACAGGAGGAGCCTGGAGTGGCAACAGAGGTGCTGTGGATGTGGGGAGGGGAGGCTGAGAGCAGGGTGTTGAGGGGGTGGGTCAGTTCCAGAATCCAGGTCTGGGGGAAGGTGCAGATGTGCTTCTTCATGTGCGTGGAAATGGGCCAGGAGGGCTTTCTCCATCCCCTTCCCAGCAATGGAGGTGACGTGGTTCCCTGGTTCCTCCCCCAGTTCCTGTTCACAGAGGCACACGAGGGCGCCAGTTCACGTCCTGCACCCCACTGCTCCACGCCGTGCCCCAGGAGTCCCCTGTGTGCCCACTGCTTCCTGCCTCAGCATGGCCTCGTGTTCCCCCAGCAGCATCCGTTCTCCTGCCTCCTTTTCCCCAGCAGATCCCATTTGGGGCAGACAGGGGAGACCCTATAGAACACGAGTGGATGAGGGCACCCATACAGGGTGGCCCAAAGGGGTGAATGAGCCCCGGCTCCACGCACCAAGTGCTGCACGTGGCTGTGACGCAGGACCTGCAGGGACACAGGGACTACGAGGACACAGGCCGGACTCCGACCCCATGACGTGGGGGCAGTGGGGCGGGAGCACCCAGGCCGCTTCCCAGGGCAGGAGCCACCTCCAGGCCCACGTCAGATGTGGCCCCACGAGGCGATGGCCCAAAACAGCCCAGCCCCGAGCCACTGACCCATACCACATGAGTGGGGAGAGCAAATCCCAGCGCCCAGGCTTGCTGCCAGCCCCCCCAGTCAGACACCCCGGCTTCCTGTGCCTGGCTGCTGGCCCCTGGGCTCACTGGGCCATGATTCCTGCTGGGCAAGGGTCAGTGCCCGATGCGCTGACTTTGTCTGGTGCACAAAGGATCGGATACCTGGGGGGGGGGGGCACACAGCGGGGTTGTGCACACACACGGTGGTCCCCAGTTGCACACAGTGCTGGTATGGCACTGATTCGGGGTGGGCTCTGTGAGAGCTGGAGCAGATTGGGAAATGAGGGGGGGGGGGTCCAAAAGGGGCCATCACCAGGGGTGGGTGACCCAATGCCAGGGGGAGGTGGGTGTCCTGTGGGGTGCTGGTGCTGCGCGTAGCCCCTGCTCGGGGACCGGAGCGTCACCGCGGCGCCGACCAACAGCTGGCAGAGGGCGGGCGCTGCGCTGAAGCAGAACCCGGCCCTTGTCTGGGGCTGCGCTAGGAGCCGCGCTGGGCTGAGCCGGGGCCACGTCGGGCTGCGCCGTGGGCCGCACCCAGGGCCGCGTTGGGTCCGCACCGCGGCGTATCCAGACGCGGCCGGCCCACACCCGGCTCCGCACGGTGCAGCTCCGGGCCCGGCCCGCTCCGCTCCCGCACGTGGTCTCGTGGCGCGCTGCCCGCCCAAGGACCCGGCGATGCGCCTCCGCCGCCGAGCGGAGCGGACCAATAGCGGCGCGACCCCGGCCCCGCGGCGCCCAGCTGGCCAACGGGAGCCGCGAACCGGCTGCTGACGTCACGGAGAGGGCGGGCGCTGGGTGTCGGCAGGCTATAAAGCCGAACGGGCGGGGGGCGGCCGCGCCAGTAGAGGCGGAGGGGTCGGTGTGGCGGAGAGCAGCCGAGAGCGGCGCGCTGCGTGCCGGCCTTCCCGCCCGGCGCTGTCGGTGAGCGGTGCGGCCGTGCGGGGCCTCGCGTGGCGGCGGGACCGGGGCGGGGGGGGGACGGCCGTTGGCGGTGCGCGGGAAGGGCGCTGAGGCCCCGCTGTCCGCCCGCAGGATGAGCCGCCCGCCGCCATGGAGCCCGGCCCGGCCCTGAGCGCCCGCCGCCGCCCGCCCCGCCGTGCAGCCCTATAGCGGCGGCAGCCCCGCGTCCCGCCCGCCGCGCAGCCTATTTAATTCCCCGCCGTAATTTATTGTAGCCCCCCGTGCCCCCCTCCCCCCGCCCCGCTCACGCCCCCTCGTAGCGCGGAGCTTTGGCCATGGCGCTGCCCGTCCCCGAGCCCGCCGCCGCCCCGCTCACCCCCTTCCTATGGATGCTGGTGCTGGGCTTCGTCATCGCCTTCGTCCTGGCCTTCTCGGTGGGCGCCAACGACGTGGCCAACTCCTTCGGCACGGCCGTGGGCTCCGGCGTGGTGACGCTGCGGCAGGCCTGCATCCTGGCCAGCGTCTTTGAGACGGTGGGCTCCGTGCTGCTGGGGGCCAAAGTCAGCGAGACCATCCGCAAGGGGCTGATCGACGTGGAGATGTACAACGCCACGCAGGAGCTGCTGATGGCCGGCTCCATCAGCGCCATGTTCGGTGAGTCCCGTTCGCGGTGCGGCGCCCAGGTGTGCCCTGTGGTTCCTCACCCGCCTCCCTTTTGCCTTCCAGGCTCGGCCGTGTGGCAGCTCGTGGCTTCGTTCTTGAAGCTTCCCATCTCGGGCACGCACTGCATCGTTGGAGCGACCATTGGTTTCTCGCTGGTGGCCAAAGGGCAGAAAGGCGTCAAGTGGTCTGAGCTGCTAAAAATCGGTGAGCCGGGTGAGGTGATGCTCCAGGAGCAGCGTGCCCACCTTGTGCGTGGCAGCAGCTCGTGGCAGGGCTTCCTTCCCGCAGCAGGGCTCCAACAGCTCCTCTTTTCTCCTAGTGTTGTCCTGGTTCATCTCACCCCTCCTTTCCGGCATCATGTCTGCCGTCCTCTTCTTCCTTGTCCGTAGGTTCATTCTCCGCAAGGTAAGGATGGCCCAGCTGTGCCGGCAGGCTGTGGGAGCTCCTGCTGCTCGCTGCTTTGTTTGCTGGGCTGTGTGCACTGCAGTGTGTCTGCGTGTCCTTGTGGCTGAGCGATGGGGAGCCTGGGCCCGCTCTTGTCCCACGAGGTGGGGACCAGGAGATAAGGAGCTTTTGCTTGCCTCTTCCAAAACATGTGGACTGTTTGAGCAGGGGCAGCTGCAGCTTTGCTGCTGGAGTTGATAAGGTTGGAGCTGCATGCCATGCTTTTCTGGACTCGCACGAGGCTCTCGTGCTGCAGTGGAAGATGACAAGTGATGATGGTGGCTTTTTTTGAAGCCGGGAAGAACCAAAATTGTCCCCGGTGCTTGGAAACTGCACTTCCCTCTGCAGGAGAGGCAGCCTGAGCAGCCCACACCTCCTGGCTGTTCTGCTGCAGCTGCTTCCCCACTGCTACGGGTTTCAGCCTCCCAGAGTCAGGATTCAGGGTGCTGCTTTCTGCATGGTCTGCGGCAGCGTCGCTTTGAACTCCCTTCAGCTCCCGTGGTCTCTTTGGTGTTTGGAGGAGCTGCTGCCCACGGATGTAGGAGCTTTTCCATCCCAAACCACTGGGGAGCAACAGGTCTGGTGTGAGGGCTGTGCTGGGGGCAGCCATGTGAGGACCCTCTAGTTGTGTGCCATTCTATCCTGGCAACCGAAAGCCGTGCTCAAAGCTCTACAGCCAAATTGCTCTGCGTTTCTCTCTGCCCTAAAGCTTGCCTGGTGGCAGCAGCACCCTGATGGGGCAGTGAGACCTCAGGGGAATCCACTGCTCTGTCTGTGCTGGAAAAGATTTCTGCTGTTTGGAGGGTCTGAAAGTCTGGGAAAAAAGGAGTCTGGCACCCAGAATGTTAGGGGCACAGCTTTGGAGGTTGTTTTTTGGAGGTGATGAACTTGAGGCACACTGGTCCTTCAGGCTGCGGGCATTCAGCTGGTTGCCCAGAGCGCCCAGCTCCAGCATTATTAATCAGCACTTTGTTCTGCACGTTTTGGTTTAATGACACCCATGATTTTAGGTCTGGAAGAACTACTTCTGCTCCAAGAGATGTTAAGATCTTATCGCTGCGCTTTCTGCCTGGCAACCCTTTCAAAACGCTCCGGCGTCACTGCCGTGGGAGCAGCCTTGCATAACTGCCCTTTCAGAGCCCTGCTTGCCACCTCCTGCTTCCCGCTGTCCCTCAGTGTTGGCACGGTGCTGGGCAGGGCTGGGTTTGGTGCTCCTGCTGCCTCTGGGCGCAGGTCTGCAGGGCAGTAAAGCTGCTTGCAAGCTGAGGGCTTTGTTGTTCTGCCCGAATCAGTGAAAGAGGCAAAAGCTTTGTCTGAGGAGCGCTTTTCTCCCAAAGCACCCAGTGGGGTGAAAAACCCCATG